GAGAGCCTCGTTCGGGGAAACTGACTGCCCCTGAACTCGTTTAAGCAGGGATTATTTTTGGCCGAGCGGAGATGTGGTTCTACAGAAGGATGTTGAGGATATCATGGACTGATCAGCAGTGAGATCTTGAAGAGGATGCAAACAAGTAGGAAGCTTATGCTTAACATAAGGAAGAGGTAGATGAAATTTCTGGGACACGTGATGAGAAAAGAAGGCCTAGAGAATCTGATACTCACGGGACGAATAGAGGGAAAAATAGACAAGGGAAAGTATCGCGTGGCTGGCTTGTGCAGGTGGATCGCAGAGCTTGGTATCGGGGAGTTGGTAGAAACACAAAACCTGTTGAGAGCCACAAGGGATAGGCGGAAATAGAGGGCCATGATCACCTACGTCCTGAAAGGACACGGCACATAAAAAGATGATGATTGAGCAGATCCCGGTCAGATATATCAGCAGTTGTCCGTTTTTGGTCTGGTCCGACTCTTTGTCAGGATAGAGCTAAGCAGGAGGAGTTCAATACTTTCTAGGGCGTTTTTTTTTTACGACCGTCATTAGCAAGGATCGTAAATATGGGTTCTTCTTGAGGTCAGTGGTGAACTTGTTTCCCAACAGTCGGTCGAATGATGTTACCAGACATTTTTACCCGGCTGAGCTGTCAGCGCTGGGGCAGACAAAGAAAGGTGAAACAGCTGCTAAGCTATCGCCATCTAGGTTTTTGGAAATGCACCCAGATACTGTGGTATCATGGCGAGAGAATGTTCTTAGATAGACCGGTAAATATAAAGCAGGATGTGGGTAGGAAAGAAGAGAGCCTCGAAAAAGGCTTCGAGTGAAAATGCAGACAGAACTGGTTGGAGTCATAAATAGTTTTGCTTGTACAAATCCACAAATCATCGAAACCAAGAGTTTGCACGTACTGGCCTTGTTTAGACTACTGATCCCGTCAGATAATACACTCTCTCCTATAAACCGTAACAAAGGTGCGTTAAATCCTTCAAAAACATTAATTATCAAGGCAAATTGACTAAAACTGAGATATTCTAAATTATGGTATGTGGAATTAGAATCTAAATGGTCTAAATAAATGGTTCGTTTCGAAATTCTAACACATTTTACCTGAATAAGGCTGGAGTGTACAGAGTTCGAAACGTTGTCAATATGGCAATAAAGATGAGCATATCAGACCCAACAATGTAAATAGTGTGAATAGTTGCAGTACCTCAGTTCGGAAGTATAGACAGATGTTAAAGGTATCTTTCTATATTGAATGATGAGATACAATTGAAATTGCTAGATATAAACACAAATTTTATGCTAACAATTTCAACTCACGCACTTCTCGCTTGTGGGACTCTCTTTTGTCCTATTGCTTCCCCGTCAACTCTGACCTTCAAAACTTTAAATGCAATCTCTTCTGTCTTCTTATATCGTACTCTCTCCTTTGTTTGTTACTTTTTTCTCGCATTCTTTTCCAATCATTAAGCACGTGTGTCTTAGTGGCTTTATTGCTTTGCATGGGGTGAAAAGGTAAATATGGGAAACAGACTAAGAAAGGTGACATCCGATGGTCATGTTTTTGACTGAGAAAGAGGAGTCCCAAGGACGTTGATGAAGTGAGATGCAAACTGACCTCCGCCTCTTACTCACCAGAACCATTCGCCGATCATTTGACTATTGCTAACGCAAATGGTCTGGTGCTCCTACTATATATTTAAAAGCTTCTTGATGAAACCCAAAGAAGGATCTGCAATGGTATTGGACCTGACCTGGCATCTCGGCTTCAGTCACATTGCCACCACCGTAATATAGCTTCACTCTGTTTTTTTTTCTCTAAATACTTTCATTGTAATTATTCTAGCGAACATTTCTCCATGGTACCTAGATTATGAATTTAACCCCAGTAATAGATTGGCGATAAAGATTCGCCAATTTAAATTTGAATTGGCTAGATAGAACCGTAAGTTCTATTCTAATAGTTTCTTCTCTCGCAATTCTCCCTTAAGGAACTCTCTTCGGGCTTCTTGCTTTTGTCAATTGTTGTATTTTATTCCTGTTCTTATATTTTTCACTCTACTTGAGGTGTTTTTTCCTAATATTCTCAAACACTCAGTAACCTTTAATGTCTTGCTCGGGGTGAAATAATTAAAAAAAAATCTATCTATCTATCTATCTATCTATCTATCTATCTATCTATCTATCTCTTCATTTCTATCTATCTTATCTATCTGAGTCTCATGAAATTTTCTGGAGTTTTTCTAATGTTCGTTTGGTTCGGCTAACAGAATATAAAAATTTCCCGTCATGTCTATTGTCTCAGAGGCGTTCGGCCATGTTTAACGTAATTTTCAAGTGGTTTGTTGTTAAGAGTTGTTAATTTCTTTTCATGGTTGTCCTTTTTACGTGTAGGTGTGTAAAGCCTAAATATTTGTAGCGTTTATTCCGAGATAAGAGAAAGGGACGTGGCTGGAGTTCAAGTTATACATACATATATATATATATATATATATATATATATCTGAAATGGACGCCTCATCTTTATTTATCAAATAGTGTATATTTGGGTTATCTGCATGTATACAATATACAACATATATATATATATATATATATATATATATATATATATATATATATATATATTGAAGTTAGAAGATTGATAAATCAAACGGATAGATATAAGTAAGCATATACCTGTGTGCTGGTGTGCATACGTGGGCAACCCAATAAATAATCGTCATATTCATACATGAGGTGTAAACATAATAGTACTAGATGTGGTTATACACAGCAAAGACACACACAAACACACACAAATATATATATATATATATATATATATATATATATATATATATATATATATTCTTTCCTATCTATCTATCTCTTCATATCTATCTATCTATCGATTTATCTATCAATTTATCTATCTATCTATATCTATCTATCTATCTATCTATCTATCTATCTGAGTCTGATGAATTTTCATTGTTTTTCTAATGTTCTTAGGTGTGGTTAACAGAATGTAAAATTGTCCGTCGTGTCTATTGTCCCAAACGCATATATATATATATATATATATATATATATATATATATATATATATATATTCATTAATTTATATGTGTGGTACTTAGTGGAAAGCGCTCAATATCAGTGACAGACCTAAGATAATAAGTTGTATGGATATGAAATAAAATGCGTACACCTATATGTATGTGCCTATGAGTATGATAGTTCCACTCCAAACAAACACAGAAATAAATACCCCCTCCCAACACTGATCGCAAAAACGGTAAAACTCGGGTCACAAACCATAGCCATACAAACCATAGCCATAGAAGCCATAGCCATATATATACATACTAGCAGTAGAGCCCGGCGTTGCACGGGGATATAACAGTAAGAGATAGATCAAGTATCCACCATCATAAAGACTGAAAAATAAAATTGACAAAGATTATTATTTAAGCTTGACGGACACGCATGTCTTAATTAGTTTTTTTTTTTTTTTTTTACGAATTGGTCAAACCAAAACTCAAACAAAAACATTGTTTACAATCGTTATGAGTCTATCGATTGATGAATAGAACTTTATTATAAACAATTGTCTTGTAAATGGAATTTTTAAAGCATTCTGAATGTATAAATAAAGAAAAAAGTGTGCAAGACAATAAGAAACACTACCTGCCAAAAAAGAAAGTGGATGTTTGTTTTATCGGCTGAAAAATGTAAGAAATCCGATCCCATATATAAAGGAACACACACACACACAAACAACCTGTTTTTTTTAACCCGATCTGAGTTGTCCCCCTTTCATTCTCACGATGTGTCTTAATCGTGTTTCAAACTGATTTTCTTAAAAAACAATTGTGTTTTCCCATTTTCGGCGCCGTTAGAACCACCCCAAGGCAAGTTTATGTAGTCCTGTGAAGCTTTGTTGAAATCGGTTAAAAAATGTAGGAAATCCGATCCGTTACAGACACACACACACACACACGCAATCTGCGTTTTATATAAATAATATATATATATATATATATATATATATATATATATATATATATATATATATATATATATATATTTATGCCTGCGTATACGTCGAGAAAGCATCTTCATATACAAAGCCACCACGCTCGCACCCACACACACACACACACGCACACATATATATATATAGCTGTGTGTGTGTGTGTGCGTTTTATTATATCAAACGTTCTTATATTGGATACTTAGCATTTGAAGTCGAAGACTCATCTTTATCAAATAATGTGTATTTTTGTGTATTTGGATTATCTTCCTTTATACAAACACATATATATATACATATATATATATATATATATATATATATATATATATATATATATATATATATTGTAGTTAAAAAATGATAAATTGAACGAATATATATAAGCAAGCATATACGCGTGTGCTGGTGTGCATACGCGGGGAACCCAATAAATAACCGTCATACATGAGGTGTAAACATAATAGTGCTCGATCTGGTTATACAGAGCATATATATATATATATATATATATATATATATATATATATATATATATAGAGAGAGAGAGAGAGAGATTTTAAAGGAATTAATTGACCTCTACCGGACTGAGGATAAAAGTGTCTTTTGTAAAGGTAATGTGCTCTTCGGGAACTCAGACCGGTTGACGACATTAACAGTCTTAATAAACAGAAACTTATAATAAATAATGTCGGATAATTAAAATAGAAATGCATTATTACATATATATGCATCTATATATCTATATCTATCTATCTATCTATCTATCTATCTCTATACATGTACATCAAGAATATAAGTTGTCGTTTGATCAATATAATCGAAAATACATTTCGAAGTGTCTTATATTTTTGTCTTGTCGTTTCTTTTTCTTCTCAAACCCCGAAATGTAAATGTATAATGCGAAAATTCAAAGTAGAAAGTGAATTGAATTTTCGACTAATGGATCCGATATTTCCATGCGAAAATATCAGAGATAAATAATAGGGAAGGAAGATATGAAATTGGAAGGCAAAAACAAAGAACTGGAACACCCCCCACCACCACCACAAAAAAACAAAAAAAAAACTGATCCCTTCATTACACAATGATAGATAGATATAGACAGATAGATACATAACAAGATAAATGGAATGATTGATAGACAGAGAAAGACTGAAATAGATAGATAGATAGATAGATAGATAGATAGATAGATAGATAGATAGATAGATAGATATGAACAGAAGGATATAGTCTTATAGATAGATAGATAGATAGATAGATAGATAGATAGATAGAATGCTGGTGAGATAAATCTGAACAGATTATTAGCGAGAAAAATAGATAGATAGATATGAACAGACTGAGATAGATATGAACAGAAGGATATAGTCTTATAAATAGATAGATATATAGAGAGATATAGAGGAGAATGATAGATAGATAGATAGATAGATAGATAGATAGATAGATAGATAGATAAATGAACAGATAATAGATAGATAGATAGATAGAAATAGATGAACAGATAGATTAGACTGAGATAGATAGATAGTCTTATAGATAGATAGATAGATAGATAGATAGATAGATAGATAGATAGATAGATAGAATGCTGGTGAGATAAATCTGAACAGATAATTAGCGAGAGAAATAGAATGATTGATAGATAGATGGATAGCTAGATATGAGCAGACTGAGATAGATATGAACAGAAGGATATAGTCTTATAGATAGATATATATATATAGAGATATAGAGGAGACTGAGATAGATAGATAGATAGATAGATAGATAGATAGATAGATAGATAGATAGATAGATAGATATGAACATACTGAGATAAATAGGTACGATAAATTTCGACGTAGGAGGATCTGATAGTTTAATTGGTTCAATTATGACGTTTTGTGCGATAATCTTAAGTAGCACTTAAGATCCGCTAGTGATTGTGAAACTGATGAGTCCACTAAAACATGTTGATCTCCATTCTACCCGCTCCAATTCTATATATATATATATATATATATATATATATATATATATATATATATAAGAGAGAGAGAGAGAGATAATTAGCGAGATAAATACAATGATAGATAGATAGATAGATATAAGCAGACCGAGGTAGATATGAACAGAAGGATATAGTCTTATAAATAGATAGATATATAGAGAGATATAGAGGAGATAGATAGATAGATAGATAGATAGATAGATAGATAGATAGATAGAGAGAGAGAGAGAGAGAGAGAGATAATTAGCGAGATAAATAGAATGATTGATAGACATAGATAGATAGATAAATAGATATGAGCAGACTGAGATAGATATGAACAGAAGGATATAGTCTTATAGATACATAGATATATAGAGAGATATGGAGGAGATAGATAGATAGATAGATAGATAGATAGATAGATAGATAGATAGATAGATCGAAAGAAAGTCAGAGAGGAAGAGTAAGAGAGGCAAATATGTATAATAGATAGATATGAAGAAATTGATGTAGAAACTGATCTTGATAGATCGATTGAACAGTCAAAGATCGATAGATTTTCTTCTTCTTCTTCTTTTGTTAATTCTTTCACCTCAAGTGATTAGTAGGCAGGCTGTTACAGGGTGTGAAATCAAGAGAAAAATAAGGAGGATTGAGGAAAGGACAAATGATGACCGGGATTCAAGGAGACAGACGATGCATTTAAAGATTTGAAGATTGCATTTATCAAGTAAGCAATAAAAAAGAGTTCTGCTGGCGGGAAGTTCGAAAAAAGAAATAGTTGGAGTAGAAGAGGCGGTTACATCTAGCTATTTCAGCAGTAAAACTATGGGACCTACTTGCCAATCTGGTAGGACGCTTCAAGTCATGTAGTCGGAACAGCAGGATAAAAACTCGTCGGAACTGTTGTCATGGTATTATCCGTGGAAAAAAACAGAATAGATAGATTTGAACAGAATGAGATAGATAGTGATATTCCAAGCGTAGCTTGGATGTGGCATAAGGCCGAATGTAAGGGGCGCCCAGTGAGGATCGAACTCACTACTCAGTCATAATTGTTCTAGCTAGACAAACTTGCTAACCATTACACCACCTCGAGGTGCCCACATAATGAGATAGATAGATTTGAACAGAATGAGACAGATAAAAGCAGTCTTGATTTAGATGAACAATTGGCTGAAATATATATATATAGAGATAGATAGATAGATAGATAGATATAAACAAACTGACAGATAAATATGTACAATTTGATAGATTTAATTATTGATTTATGCTATCTATTTCTCTCTCTCTCTCTCTCTCTCTGTATATATATATATATATATATATATATATATATATATATATATATATATATACATGCGTGTGTGTGTGTCGTTTCATTAAGTTAAGCGGTTTTGAAGACAATAGACTGAAGCACCATGATCGACTTCGTTAAGCTCTGAAGCAGAGACACCATCAAAATCCTACTTTAACAAATTTTCTCTGTCAGTGTGGCTTTGTCGCCCGCAGCAAGGCTGGGCTAGTATCGCACTTGAGAAAGCACAAATGAAATCTGACTTTCCTTTACCTGATTTTCTCCACAATGTCCCCTGCTAGCATGTATAAGTGTAAAACGAAAGGCACCATCCAATGTTGACCTGCATTTATCGTTCACGACAGGGGAGCCCACCATATTTGTGTATGTAGTAAGGGCTGTGCACCTCTCAGTATAATTTTCCTGAGTTGCAATCTGTATTTTCGCAGAGCTGCCCAATAGCCCCCACCTGCCCGCGAGACGCAACTTTGAGATGATAAATGAACGTGTTACGAGAGTAATTTTGTATTTATTCAACCCCCACCTCACGAGACGAGGTTTAATGTGGGGAGCCCGAGCGTGTACACCGGGGCAAGGAACAAAAATACCCTGAGCCACACATACACTCTACTTTGTATATAAGATGAATTTTTATAGTTTTTTTTATTGATTTTCATTTTGTTATAAAAGGGTATTGTTGGTCATTTTATTATAAAAATTCTCTGTTGATTTTTGTTTGGAGATTAACTGTTTTTCTGTAGCTGGGACCCTAATCAGAGTTGAACTGGAAACAACAGTAGCTAAGAGGTTGCCCCAAACCTTCGAAGAGTGGCCTCGCTGCCCGATGTTGTTTATCGTCGTACGAAAACGATTGTATATAAATAAATCCTGTTCTATCGCTAACGTTTTAAATTATCAGTGAACCTAACTTAAAAGTATTTTAGACAGACTGAATAACAAACATTAGTAAATAGTATAATTTAATATTTATTAGATAGAATGTATTCTATTTTCGTCTAACCCTAACATAAAAGCATTTAATAATTATTATAAACTAAGTTCGTTGTCAAGTTTTTTGAATTCTCATTTACTTGTATTTTGATTGGTCGTTTCCCCTAGCAAGGGATGCTTGATTGATTTGAACCTTTTAAAACCCTTTATTCTACATTCAACACCATCACTTGATAAGACACCAGAAGTGTTGAAACAAACTGGCTATTTTTTGTAGTGATTTTATAACATATTTATATCATAATTTTCGAATAAATAATTATATATATATATATATATATATATATATATAAATATATATATATATATATATATATATATATATATATATATATATAATTATGCCTCTTCCGCTTTCAGTGGTATATAGAGGGTGCGTCAGTATTTTGAGCACACGTCTTTCAAGAGCTCTGTCTACCATTTTAAATCTATCACCTTTCATTACGTTAACTCAGCAAACGAAAAGACAGGCTGTAATCGTTGACTTAAAGACACTATATCGTGATAGAGTAACGGTGCGTTTCCGGAGCGTTGCCACATCTTCCGTTTTGAAGGGACCTGGAGGTTGCTAATGGGAGCGGTGTCAATTAGGAGCAACTGAATGCAAGACGCAGGCTAAGGGCCATGAAAAGCTATCAGAGCAGCTAACGTTCTAAGAAAGCGACATATGAGAATCAGTTGATCTGTGCTGAGCAAAATCAACATGAGCCCGGGTTCTGTGGAATATTTTCCGATGAGGACCAACAGTCAAACCGAAGGAAAAAAAAGATAGTTATATATATACAGCTCGTTTATTATCTGTCTATATTTCTGAGATGTGGTATTATGTAGATTATTCGGACAATTGTCACCAAATTAATTACAACGTTTCAGCCGGTGGTTGGAATGTCAAACTGAACTCTTTATTTCGCTCACTGTAATACCCAGAAATTCATAAACAGATGTCCTCAAAAACACATGTCACAGTGGATAAAGGCGTTAGATAGATCTAGTGACAGGACCTGAAGAGTGTCAGTTCAATTCTTGGTTAAGGCGGTGGAGAACTTGCAGAGGGAAATTAACATGAGATAACTGACTTCCATTCAACATGGCACGTGGAACAAGAACAGTCTACACCAGTGTTGTGTATGATACACCTAATTTACATAAGCGGACTACCGACCATATAAATATGGGTTGGTACCGGAAGACGGGGAAGATAGTAGAGATTAAGAAATTGAATCCAGAGACTCTGCCCGACTGCGATTTAGTCAACCCATTATGCAGGAACAGTCTTCCCAAGAATATACCAAACTAACTGTAAATATTGTGTACCTATTCTTTGTTTCAATACATTTTGTTAACGTACATTTTGTGTTGTATTATTCCATGCTTATTTAAGCTTCAACAACCAGTGAGCGAAATAAAGGGTTCAATTCGACATTCCAACTACCCGAAGAAGGCCGGACCGTACAACGGCCGAAACGTTGTAATAAATATGTCGAAAAAGATGAGGACAATAGTCAGCATAATGTAAATAGTATACATAATACCTCATCTCAGAAATATAGACAGATACTGAAGGGCCGAAACGTTGTAATAAATATGACGACAAATATGAGGACAATAGTTCAAATAATATAAATTGTGTACATAATACCTGATCTCAGAAATATAGACAGATACTGAAGGGACCGAAATGTTGTAATAAATATGACGACAAATATGAGGACAATAGTTCAAATAATATAAATAGTGTACATAATACCTCATCTCAGAAATATAGACAGATACTGAAGGGCCTAAACGTTGTAATAAATATGGCGACAAAGATGAGGACAATATTTCAAATAATGTAAATAAGATACATCTCGGTAACGAAAATCATTTTTTGACAACAGGTTTATGCAATTAATCTTGGGAATCACTCCTATAGGCTAACACATCAGAATCGATGGCTGCTTTGATAGTATGTCGGAAGCATTGTCATGATCGAATCGGGTGATCTTTTGAGGAAATAAATGATATCTGTACTGATTTTGGCGGTCGCCCTGCAAGAAGGGAGATGCGTGTCTTACTAAAGAGTAAATTTATTCTATAAAATCGCCATTCGTCATTATTATAATGTCTAAATGTATTGTTTACATTATCCGTGATTATATCCGTGACTAGCCATCTATGTTTAGTAATAAAAAGAATGGATGATATGTTAACCGACAGTATATAGTAGTAGTTGTGATTCCAATTTATGAATTTGAAGTTTCTAGATAACTGGGAACTCAATACGTTAAATAAAATGACAAACCGTGAATTAAAGTAATATTGCTTAATGGAGGTTCTAAAAGCAAATCTTATAAAGAATAGAAAAACAGTTTTTAATTAATTCTATAATAGAAAAACTAATCCGAAAATGTGAATAATGTCCTTGGTAGCTGTTTCCACTTGTAAATAAGTCGAGTGCATTCGGTTAAAATAAAATATAGGTTGCATGTACTCTTGTTGTTTTCACTGTTATTTTTTTTTCCAATTTACTTTAACTTTAGCTCTATGAGTTTGTGAACAACATATTTAGGGAATCTATTATTTATAAGTGTTTGTTTAATATTGCAGTAATTCCTCAGTTGCCAAGAATGTAACGCTAAACGAAACAACGCTGTAAGTGGTCATTATACGGGCCCAAATAGAGATACGAGCTATTGTTGACACTGATACGAATACAAATGAGAGAAAACAAACATTCCCAAACGATTTATAGGTGAAAAAACTTATGTTTGTCTTGTTAATCGACGGCAATTTTTACAAGAAATTTGGATATTGCTGAAAACATGTCTTCATTCGACTTTCTTATATTCTTACATTTGTGCAAGTGGTGTAATGGTTAACGATTCGGAACGAGGTATCGATGTGCACGGTTCGAATTCTACTAGAGTTACTTACATTTACTTTTGTGCAAATACAATTAGCGATGGTCTGAATCCACATTTTCTCCCACTTACTATGGCCTACGTTAATAGAATTGTCTAGGCAATTCAGTTTTCGTTGCTGACATAACGAAGAGAAAGAAAATTCTGATTTCAGAGCATTTTGAGGTATGGTGCTACCAGATCCGTCCTGTAGTGTATCGGGATAAGAAATACATCCAATAGGACATCAATTTGTCATCTCCATTCCATAGAGCATGGGTCTATTCACTCCATCCCATAGTTTATGGGCTAATAACTACAGCTGATATGGCAGGGGTGGTCTAAATTGCTGAATGTAAAAGCCACATACGATAAAGACATGAACAAAATTTTCACATACGTCTTTGCTACATACACATTTTGTTAAAAAAAAATTATACAAATATTAAGAAAGCCATGGATGCAATAATATTTACTCATGTATACAATTTTTTCAACTGTTTAATTTCTATTCGTTTCAGTAGTCAAGAATACACACACACACACACACGCACACACACACACATATATATATATATATATATATATATATATATATATATATATATACAAACACATATATATATATATATATATATGATATATATATATATATATATATATATATATATATATATATATATATATATATGTGTGTGTGTGTGTGTGTGTAGAAAAAGTTTATATGTGTTCCAACGAGAAAAATGTATATTTTAAAAAGAGAGTAACCGCAACTTTTTTGGTTACAATGTGAATTTGTTTTAGTTTATATATTATATTTTATTTTATTCTTCATATTTCTACTACACGCGTTTCCAGCAATGTCGCCTTCTTCAGGCAAATACAAGGAATACATTTTTAAAAGGAATAAATTTTCCTTATGTTCTTTTAATCTCTCAGTATATAGCAAGTGTTTTTTTTTCAAAACGTTGTCTGGTGATTGTTTTAACTATTGAGCGTATTTAATACCGTAATGATCTATAGAAACTTTTAAATTCGTGAATCTTCATTTCAGTAACATCAAAATACACTGCCAAAAATAACACTAAAAAGGAAAAATAAATATCTTTAATAATATTTATTTGTCTTTGTAAATATCTGGTTTTAAAGTTTTCAATATTTTTTATTAAGCATGAACATAAAACTTGCTGTTCAAACTAGTGGGGTCTTAATTCATACAGTGACAGTACGAAAGCAATTCGTGAAACCAACAAAGACAAATTCAAGGTAAAGGAAACTTACTGAAGAACTAGAAGTGGGTATGAAACGAAATGCTACAAAGTAATTTGGCGAAATATCTACAAAATAAGGGGTACATACTAATAGGAAATTAAAATAAAAATAGATAAATATATTTATTTAACATAGTAGTAATCTGAAAATGTTGTATAGTGAAGAGTAAATCTCCGATGACTCTACGAACACGTCCGATTCTATAAAGTCTTCCATGCTATGAGATCGTGGCTAGTTGAAGTTAGGGGTAGTTCTCTTCTCTGTGAGTTGCATTGTTTTTTTTTTTTTAAGACCAGCTCTTGTTTCGTCTGACGTGAGGGTGGATTTTACGTTTGAACATTTTTTGAAGAACTGTGGATTTACGTTAAGTTTTTTTTTTTTCTTTCGTTTTTTTTTCAGTTATTTATTAATTTTTTACGAACTTTTCATTTAATTTTCAATTTTATTTTATTTTTTGTTTAATCCTTTTGTTTTTACTTTTCTACGTGTTACTTGTTTTTTTTTAATGCAAGCAAAGCTTTATTTTTCTTTTGTATTTTTTTCTTTTGTGCTTCACCCTCACTCGACTCTATTTCATTTTTATTTTGTTGCTTGTGAAGTAAATTTCGTTTTGTTTCTATTTTTCCACGTGTGACTTGTTTTTTTTTTTTACTTACAAGCTAAGTTTCATTTTCTTTTTCTTTGTTTTTCACGTTTCCCCGACTTTAAATAGTCTTCTTTTCTGCGAGACGTTTTGTTTAATATTTATTTAGTTTCAATATGTTTATTTTTTTTTTAATTCGGGGCCAACGTTATAAGCATTTGCCGTGTTGGTCAAGGCACCACTATGGAGGTATTTCCCGAGAGGCCGCCAGTACAGGTGGAACAAAATACACCTCCAAAGAAAAGAGCCTGGACGGAAAACAGGCTACTAAAAGACGTCAGGCAAAATACAAGGAATATACACGGACAAATAAATTTCTCATTAAGCACTGTGAAGTGTCAACATGAAAGCAATCTCCTTGCTGGCCACCGACGTAAAAACTCGGAAATTAATTGGGATCAGTAAGTAAACGATGGGGGAGACGCTGAACAGTCTCAAGATTTGGCCAAAGATTCTGTCCAGTCTAACGCTCTATGTAACGTTACGCTGGCTACAGAACAAGAGGTCAAGCAGTAAACTAACGACAAAAAACAGTTCGCTTCCAAACCGAATAAATGAGAACCGGAAAGACGATGGTGACCGTAAATGGAGTCTCCGTGGATATCACCGTAGTCAGGATAGGGGCATTTTTCGCCCAATACGGACAAGTGGATGACGTCTCTGCAAAAGGATACTTGTGAAAAGACGTCGAGACTACTGCTGGTCGTGTGGGTCGTTTGGGCACATCTTGAAAGCGTGCCTCGGTAAGAATATGGCACCACAAACTTCGCCAGAGAACGGCGACAGCGGAAGCGGTGGAGGAGACTTGCAAAGTCCCTCGACGGCATCAGTGTTTGGAAAGGCGTGGTGAAAAGTGTACGGAAAAATGACAATCCCCCACCCCAGCAGAGTGTCCTATAACAACCTCAAAGGCTCATTGATCATATATATAATTGTGAGAATACGTCGCACGCGATTTGTGGGGGTCAAACAGATGGTGTTTCTGGCGCTGTGGACAGGATGGCGATCTGGACGACGAGGACATAGGAAATCTTGCGATGTGAACCCTATTCTCATCAGGATCTGGCCAAATACTTCGTGCTCAGGATGAAGATCAGAACTGATAGAAAGCGTATGTTGTCGACAGATTTCTGCGAAAGATGGGTAACTGCGCCGTGCCTGTTTCGAATAAACAGGTTTAGTCCTGATGTTCTTAAAAAAAGAAAATCAAGGCTAGACCCGTTTCCCAGAGTGCGGTTTCCTTGCGAGCCCACCCCTGATTAAGATAGATTCTTATTTTGTACCAGTGAATGTGAGTAAGTGGCGTTACCAGTCTGTTCCTGACTTACTCTTTTCTTATGATCCAACTTTCCCAAGCCCCCTCCGTTTTCATCTCGACTCGGTCAGTTTTGTGATATACTCACACCATATTAATTTAATCATCCCCTCTGCTTTAGCGAGTCTCTTAATTTTGTCTGAAGACAGAATACAGCGGCCCCTCTTATTATTGAGGAATACACGGGTTCTACTAACAGTTAACAAATATTTTTGTTATCTGTGATTTGTGAAATTATATTGGGGGCGGGGGCTCATCCCCCCCTCATATCATACATCGCTATATTTTTGCATATAATTTTATATACAATTGTACATAAAGAAGAGTTTGTGTCATGGAGTGTATTGTAGTTTCCCTATGTATGTTAGGTATATAGGTCTATGTAGGATTGAATGTTGATGGTGAGTGATCTCATTACCTAGGCAAAAAATAGTTGGTGTTGGCCAGCTTCAACCCATTTATCTCTTTTTTGGCCTTGTGCTATAATTATTGTATTAACTCGATAATATATAACAGTTAAATATAAGTTAGTCCCAGGGTCGCGGCAATAAAAGACCTCTGTCTTCGGGCAGATGGTGACAAGACCTCCAACTTCATGCGGAGGGTGACTCAGTCTGGGTTTTGCTTCGGATAGAGACTCGGCTGAGAAAAACAGGAAAGTTCGATTCAGACAGTCCGCTGTCTAGCTTGCGAATGTCAAGACCATTGTTTTCGGACTGACGGTGACACGGTAGGGCTCTGTCTTCATATACTGAGAAAAAATACAAATTTACCATATCAGATCAGACTCAACGCTTTTATCCACTAGCACAGTGGATAAAAGCGTTACTTAGATCCAGTGTCATGACCCAAATAGTTGTGAGTTCAATACCTGGTTATGGCAGTGGATAACTTTTAGAGGAACAATTAACAGGAGATAACAGGTAACTGACATCCATTAAACATGACACATGGAACTAGAACAGTTTACACAGTGAGCGAAATAAATGGTTCAGTTCGACATTCCAACCACATGAAGAAGGAAGGAGCGTACAATGGGCGAAACGTAATAAATATGGCGACACAGATGTGGACAATAGTCCGAATAATGTAAATAATGTACATAATAACTCATCTCAGAAATATAGACAGATACTGAAGGGCCGAAACGTTGTAATAAATATGGCGACAAAGATGAGGACAATCGTCCGAATAATGAAAATAATGTACATAATACCTCATCTCGGAAATATAGACAGATACTGAAAGGTCGAAACGTTGTAATAAATATGGTGACAAAGATGAGGACAATAGTCCGAATAATGAAAATAGTGTACAAAATACCTTATCTCAGAAATACAGACAGAAACAAATTCTGGTACATGAAAAGGTTACAAACATTAAAAAATTTTGGTATAAAATATATCATAAGATATTTATAATAATAATGAATATATAGAATCAAAGAAAAGTTTGTGGGAATTTTGTCAATTGAAAAATTAACAAAGCCCTGCGCAAAAGGCATGGGACTATTTGACCCCAGAGTACTCTGGTAGAGTAAAACGTTACAGATCTGATTAGAATTTTGCTGCATAGGACGGAAAATGTGAATGGATAGAAAAAGCTACCTTCCAATTGATAAGCAAAGTATTAAGAAATAAGCTTTACGGTCACATCATGTTGAAACACGGAAGTTAAGCAGCGTTGAGTTTGATCTTCGATCGGTGTGACCGCTTGGGAATTTCAGGTGCTGTAAGCTTGGATGTGTGGATGGTGTAATGAACTTTTGACCACATCACGGTGAAACACCGATTTCCATAGGATAACCCAAATAAAGCAACGTCGAGTCTGGTCAAAACTTCGATGGGTGACCACTTCGGAATATCAGTTGCCCTAAGCTAGAATGTGTGCATGATGTAAAGGGCTTACGACCACATCACGTAGAAACACCGGTTTCCGTACGATTACTGAAGTTAAGCTACGTTAAGCCTGGTGAGTAGCTGAATGGGTGACTACTTGGGAATACCAAGGGCTGTAATTTGAGATGTGGGGATGGTTTAATGGATAATGGCTCGAAATTAGAAAGAGAAGAGTTAAGTTCCAAGTCCAGTCAAGTTGGATGTAATCAATACCGTAAAAAAAAACAAAAAAACAATAAATTAAAATCGTTAACATCTCACCAGAATCCTTGCAGTCTAAAATATATATCCCGGCTTGAAATAATCTGCAAGAGGTTGATAAGCCGTAAAAAATATATCAGTAAATCAGTTTGTATTTTAGATAGCATCGAACCCACAACCTGCATTATGAGAAAATAAACACTTTTGTTTACAGCCAAACCAGAAGTACGATATGATGTCGGGTTATTGGGGTTATTGTATTTGGGTATGAGTGGAGAACTGGCTGCCTCCACCGCTGAAAAAGTTTGTTTACTAACATATAAAGATTATTCAGTGGCCATTTTTTTTCTAGTGAGCTTGATATTTTTGTCGAAAAATATATCTTCGGGGCAAGACACTTGTTTTACACTAATGCATATATATATATATATATATATATATATATATATATGCATGCGCGTGTGTGTGCATTTCTCTCTCTCTCTCTCTCTCTCTCTTTAATGCATATATTTACAGGCTAAGAAATTGGGGACGCTATGTCCGGCGAGACAACAGTTCTCTTCAGAATCTTTCTAACTTGTCTATAAGTCTACGACTCGTCCAAATATTCCTGTCACATATGGATCGGTGCTCCTGATAATTACCTTGAACTCCTTAATAAGATCCAAAGAAGAATCAGCAAGTTCTATCTATCTATCTATCTATCTATCTATCTATCTATCTATCTATCTATCCCCGTTTATATCTCTGTCAGTATTTTCATTATCTATCTATCTATCTATCTATCTATCATTTTTTACGTCTTTTTTTCTCCTCTACCCCTTCTATAACAATATATAACTTCCGTTACGTTAACCGTTTAAATGTGTCAATGTCTGGACCTCCTCAAGTAATTTTAAGTATGAAAGAATAGAAATATTAAATTACGTGTAATTCACTCATGTCTTCTCACTCCCCTCTCACTTCTTCACTTCGTTAATTTACATATGCTTAATACGGCTCGTCAAAAATGTGTAAATTTATTTTCATTTTTCGTTTCAACCTTTGAAAGTAAGTCTGATGATCCCAAGTCCTTTAAAAGGGCTGTGGTGAAATAATTTATTACATGGAACCTTAAAGTGGTCTGTTTTTATTTCTGTAGACATATGTATTATATTTGTAACTAAATATTCGATGTGTATATTTGTATTTAAATTAGATCTAAATTTTTTGTATTTGTATTTATATATATATATATATATATATATATATATATATATATATATATATATATATATACACACACATATATATATATATATATATGTATATATATATATATATGTGTGTGTGTTTGTGTGTGTGTGTGTTTCCGCGCTCGCACGTGTTTGCGTGTGAATATACATGATATCCAGCGTTGATAGCACGCCACGGAGTTTCATAAAATCTTGCAATCCTTAGGTGCTGATTGTGTTCTGACAATTATTAGATTCGCGTTCATATAACATGACATTGGTCACTGTAGTTATAATACCTGAGAAGAAATATATTTATATATATATATTATATATTTATCATACCCATACCAATACGTATATATATATATATATATATATATATATATATATATATATATATATATATATATATATATATATATATATATATGGTTTTGTGTCACTGTGTTTTGTGTGTGCGTGTGTGTGTATTATTTTAGTTTATTACCCACAACCATAATCATTATTTAAATATGAGATAGAAATGTGTATGAGGAATCAGTTTGATTAGTGGTGATGAAAAAATGTACATTTATTATTATTATTATATATATTTACGTCAGCGTAAATGAGGGTTCCGTATAGGATGCAGGTTCGAATCCTGTCGAAGGACGAATATTTTTCTATGAAAATTTCTCGGACATTCAGGCCGATAAATGTTATTTAATACTGTTTATTATTATAAACAGAGCATTTACTTAAATACTTGTATCTATAAAAAAGAACGTTAAACATAAAAATGTCTTTAATAAATAAATTGTCGGACTTTGTCCATTTCTTAATATATATATATATATATATGTGTGTGTGTGTGTGTGTGTGTGTGTATACACTACATCAAATATAGTAATGCAAACTCTGGGTTCGTGTTCTTCATGCCAAATAAAGGACAAAAATCCATCTTTCGTTTTTGAGTTATGAAGTTTAAAGAAAGGTAGATGGCGCTCTTTTGCCATGCGGACTTAGTTACATTTCAAGGTAGCCGAGTCATCTAGTTTTTGCTGCTGTTTATCGTTGCTGAGACAGGATCTGTGGCAATACAAACTATAGAATGAAGAAGAGTGAAATCCATTCGTCCGTCTGACCAGGAAGAACACATTCTATAGGCTGTCGGGAACGATTCAGGTATCAGCACAAGTCAATTAGCCCCTGTCATATTTTATATCACATAGTACCGCATTGAAGGACAAATAGAATTTTGTCTCCATGACAATACAGCGCCATTTACCATAAACTTTCTTTAAACTTAAAAAAAAGAGCTATTTGTGGACATATATTTTTATGGACGTGGGGCACCTCGAGGCGGCGAAACGGTTAGCAAGCTTGTCTCGCTAGAACAATTACGAATGAGTAGTGAGTTCGATCCTCACTGTGTGCCCCAAACTTTCGGCCTTGTACCACATCTAAGCAATGCTTAGAAAATCATTTGGACACCTCAAGGCGGCGAAACGGTTAGCAAGCTTGTCTCGCTAGAACAATTACGACTGAATAGTGAGTTCGATCCTCACTGGGTGCCCCATACATTCGGCCTTGTGCCACATCTGAGCTATGCTTAGAAAATCATTTTTTGGGGGCACCTCGGCCTGATGTAATGATTAGCAAGCTTGACTCGCTAGAATAATTACGACTGAGTAGTGAGTTCGATCCTCACTGGGTGCCCCATACTTTCGGCCTTGTGCCACATCTAAGCTATGATTGGAAAAGCATTATATTTATATAGACGTTTGTCCTTGGTTTCGTGTTAGGAAAGTGTGTTTGTAAAAGAATGTTTAATATACCTATATATATATATATATATATATATATATATATACATAAACAAACTAACAAACCGATCCCGATAAATGAATTCTTAGAAAAAACAAGTAAAGTTAATTAATCCAAATAAATAAATGAAGTAATAAACAGATTAAAAACTGCTCCCGTCAAAATAATAGTTAGAATAAACTCCAGATATCCACCACAAAATTGAATAAATAGCTTTAATTATCTTTACAAACCTGAACACAACTATTAAATAAGCGATACAAACAAATTTTTACTACGTTAATAAAACATTGATTAAAATAAAAATAAATGAATAAATATATAAGATAAGAAATAAAAATAAAAACAAAAAAAAATAAAAATAAATAAAAACAAGCAAAATAACCTAGCCAAAATAAATAAATAAACAAATAAACGACTTCCAGCAAAATAACCGCCAAAATAGACTACCCACAATGCACCACTGACCCGTATATATATAAATAGCCGAGAAAAAAAAAAACAGGACTCGTGGCCTGACGATTGCGTCTAGCATGAAATAGCCTGTCGCCTCTAAGTATTGACTTCAATGTTCACGTGTATATTTATACACGCTCTATCTTTGATATTGAGCACTTTATCCCATAAATATAGCACACCTTAGTAATTTCTTCATATATATTTCTTATATATATATATATATATATATATATATATATATATATATATTAAAAAGCAATAGTTCGTGCCTGATCAGTTGGTAGAACCACAAAACTTCGAACGTAGATACATGTATATTTATTAATATATACTTCTTAGCTAAGTCTAACCAGACTGAGCACTTTTTTCTTTACAACTTATATTAAATTAAATAAATATTTATTGGCTTACCTGTCGATGAGCCGTAACGCACATATACAGCTGCTAACATCTAATTATTTGGGTTATAGCCACATTTATACTTATATATATAATAATAGTTGGCCAATTGTATTCGAGGACACGCGTCTAATATGGCGGCTAGCTAATCCCAAACTCAGATGCTCGCTCAGTCTCATTTGTGTTTGTTCAACACTCACAGAGTCTACCTGTGGTTTATACTGAAACTATTCTGAGCAAACCTTAGTTACAATTTCTGGGAGAGAGCGTATTATCTAGCGTGATAAACAATCTGATCAAGGCCACCACACTCAAACCCTCAGTCACGATGACTTGTGACTTCGTGGTAGCACAGATATCAACTATCCCCCAGAAGGGTTCCGTCTACCCAATTTCATTGACAAGGCTTGGGTCACCCCGTAGTATGGTTTTCACGCACTTTCCAAAAGTACCGCACACTTTGATTCCCCCCCACAGACCGATAACATCAGTGAGTCAACTTTCTGACAAGTCAATGTCATAATGTATGATGTCATTTGTTTACATTTGTATACGCATTGAGCAGATATAAATGGATGAGAGAAAATCATGGAGAATTGTGTTTAAAAACAGTAAAATCGACCTTGCTAACCGAACGCTCCTCTATGGCCAAATCGGTTAAAGGCACGTCAGGCAATATGACGGTTCCGTATAGGATACATGTTAGATTCCTGTCGGAGGGCGCATATTTTCTATGAGAATTTCTCGAACATTCCTTCCGGTAAATGTTGTTAATACTGTTTATTATAAACAGAGCATTTACTTAAATATTTGTATCTATAAAAAGAACATATAAACATAAAAAAAGTGTCTTTAATATATATATATGTGTGTGTGTGTGTGTGTGTGTGTGTGTGTGTGTGAAATTCTTTAGATTACGGTGATAATCCCGAGGACTTTTTTTTTTTAAATGAATATCCAGGTAAAACTCCTCGTAGAGAGCTCAATAATAACAAATCTAATAATATAATAGTAATATTATTAAGCAAAATTTCAAA